GTCTGGGCTTTATCACCGCCATTCGCAATATGAAGGACAAGGTTGGTCTGATCAAGACACGTCAGCTGAAGCAGAGGTCCTTCGTTGAATTCTTTACTCGTATTTAGTACTCTCTTTCTAAGTCAGAATACGTCAGACTTTTTGTTTCTACGTACGCTATATATAGATTTAGTTAAGAAAATTGTCGGGACTGAGCTATCAAATTCAAATTTTTTTTAAAGGTATCTTAAAAGAAGTATGGTGCCCAACATGGGTCCATATCTTTTGTTCAATTTAGAGAGGGTTTTATATTAAACAGGTTTAATATAGACAGGTTCTACTGCAGCTCTGCGTAAAAAAGAGGCAATCAATCGATATACTGGAAAACATGGTCGCGACATTAGAAGCACAGTATGGAATGGTATCTGGACAGGTCGGTACGAAAACGAAACACGAGATTAAGATGGTGAAGTTATTATGACGGTGTAGATTTGGATATCAAAAAACGAATAAAAGCATTGAGAAAGAACAATATCAAGTCCGTTACTTTCCCTATCGAGGATGATTTGGAGCATCACCGTGTGATTGAAGTGCTCGCAAGAATTGCTGATGCTCGTTTGAAAACGTTTTGAAACTCTTAACCTTTGTTTTTCGCCATGGAGTCAATGATGTCGCAATTTCTCGATACACTCTAACGTTACATTCAGAGGTAATATTGCTGTTTATCAAAGTATCAGGTTTGTGACAACATCATTCACCATGCAGCTTTAATTAAACGTACATTGTGATATGATGTTCGGATCTTTCGCTCACACTTTTGCCTTAAGCGCTACGACAAACGTTGTTGTTTCGGCCTGGAGCGGCAAGTGAGACTTGTGATAAAGTTTCAAAATCTCCTCCATTTTGTATCTGTGCTCGATTCATCTTCATGTACTGTTGTCTCACTGTAGTATACAGAGCAACACGCTAAAGTACAGTCAGATTAAGATATCGAGACAAATCACAATTAACGGACTTGCTCCGGAAGCAACGTTCGCGCTTTGCTCAAGACTTCAGGCCTCTCTATTTCATCATTAAAAGATTGTAAAGAATGTGAAATTACTGTCGAATGCAGTAATTCTTCTCGGATTCGTGCATCAAAACGCAAAAT